CGCTGGAGCCGGGAGGGCCGTGGGGCGCAGGCGAGGAGGGGCGTGCACGCGCGCGGGCCGCGGGGCGTCACAGGTTCTGGCAGCACTGCAGCTTGTTGGGTTTCTGTCCGTCGGTGGTGGGGGGCACGCTGATGTCCACCACGTTGTTGCCAGGGGACTCGTCGTGGGCCGCGCGGTCGGCGATCTGCTTCTGTGACACGATGCGGTAGATTTCTGCGGCGGGAGGGAGGAGCGGCAGTGAGCGGCCCCGGGCACCGTGGACAGCGGCTGGGCGAGGGTGCGCTCCCGCCTGCCCGCCCGCGGGGCCTCTGTTGCTAACGTCCGAGTCCCCGCAGCCCCTCACGATAAATGGGAAGACACCGGCCCTGGGAACCCCACGGGGAGGCCCAGCTGGAACAGGGTCGAAGTGGCCACCCGGCTGCGGCTGCCGCATCCGTCCGGGCTCCGGGTTTGAGGAAGGGCCACGCCCTCCCGGCACCTGTTTGCCCGAGTCCCCCCGCGCTCACCTGTGAGGATGTTCTTGAACGCTTCCTCTACGTTGGTGGAATCCAAGGCTGAGGTCTCAATGAAGGACAGGTTGTTCTTTTCTAGAACAGAGGGCCCGCCTGGAATCGCGCTCTCGCTCTTGGGCCCCCAGCCCAGGGCATGGAGGGCGAGTGCTGAGCACCAGGACCTGAGGTCCACTCCTCAGGTGGCAGGCGGGCACGGTGGCCGTGTCTCGGGCACTACAGGGACCGCCCGCGTCCCGGTGCTTCTCCAAGCCCACCCGGGTGCACAGCCCCGCCGCCCCCGCCCCTCACCTGCGAAGGCGCGGGCCTCGTCGGTGGGCACGGCCCGCAGGTGGCGCAGGTCGCTCTTGTTGCCCACCAGCATGATGACGATGTTGCTGTCCGCATGGTCCCGGAGCTCCTTCAGCCAGCGCTCCACGTTCTCGTAGGTCAGGTGCTTGGCGATGTCGTACACTAGCAGCGCGCCCACCGCGCCGCGGTAGTACCTGTGGGCCGTGGTCCAGCGTGAGGCTGCAGGCCCGTGACCCCAGCCTCACACTGAGGCCACAGCTCGGCCCCCCAGGCTCTTCTCAGGGCTAGAGCAAGGAGCCTAGCGTCGGAGGGTGGAGGCGGCCATGAGGCCCTTCACCAAGAGACAAGGAAGTAACTAGGTGAGCGTTCTGCAGCCCTATACAGCCTGGCCTGGACCGGGAGGTGGGCAGAGTCCCATCCCCCCGGGGGACTAGCTCCTGGGGAGGTACCCGGAGGAGGAGGGGATGGAGGGGCTGATGGTGTGGGGAACCGCTGGGGGCCGGGAGGGGCCCAGAAAGCAGCAGCCTGTGTGGTGCTGTCTGTTGCAGAATTGGGTACCGAACCCAGGGCCTTCGCACTGAGCTATGTAATTTCTCTGAGACAGGACCTCACTGAGCACCAGCAAGGACCCCAGAGCCGTGGTGTGGCCTAAGCTGGACGCTGGTGTGCCTGAGGGCCCCACAGCTCTGGAGGTCCCCAGGGGTGGTGGCCAGACAGCCCCTCCACACTCCCCTCCCTGGTCTCAGGAGCGCTCTTTCTGGCCCAGCTCCTATACATCCCAGCGGCCCTGCGCCCCGGCCCGACACGCACGCGGAGGTGATGGCGCGGTAGCGCTCCTGGCCAGCCGTGTCCCAGATCTGCGCCTTGATGGTCTTGCCATCCACCTGGATGCTGCGGGTGGCGAACTCCACGCCGATGGTGCTCTTGCTCTCCAGGTTGAACTCGTTGCGGGTGAAGCGCGACAGCAGGTTGCTCTTGCCCACGCCAGAGTCCCCGATGAGCACCACTTGGGGGCGGGCAGGAGGGAGGCGAGGTGAGGATCTGTGAGGCCCCACACCGCCCTCCGTCCACCCGCAGAACCTCCTGTGGCAACGGAGATGCTGGGACCTTTGTGCACCTGTAGGCACCGTGGTGACCAGTGCAGATGCAGCCAGAGTGGACGGGACAGCACCGCTGCCTGGCTCGGGTCCTCCAGGGAGGCCTGTCCCAGCCGGGGCATGGGACACGACAGGCAGCCCCCAAGCAGGGTGGCTTGAGACTGCCAACCCCGAGTCTCCGCTTACAGCATGGCAGCGGGGCAGCCAGCGCAAACTCTGCAGCTGCAGGGCCTGGGGCAAGCCACCTAACCTCTGTGGGCCAGCTTTCCCACACGTGCGAACAGGAAGGCAGGAAGGAGCTGTCTTGGGAGGAAGAAGTGAGAGTGTGTGGGGTCAGGACCCAGCCAGCGTGTGGCGCTCAGAAAGGAACACAGGTGAGCAGCTGTCATCATTATTGTTGGGGTTGTGTATGGAGCGCGGGAAGGGTCAAAATCCCACAGCATTATTACTTGTGCAGTCTGGACTGGAGTTTAAAGTGACCGTCCACGCATGTTTCCGCCCACATTCAGCCCCAGCACTGACCTCTCCATGAGGAACAGGAATGCATTCTCTGGATGCAGTCCCGAAGGTGGTTTGCTTTTGTTTTGTTTTTAATGATGCTGGAGATTGAACCCAGGAAGCGCTGAGCTACACCTCCAGTTACTTTTATATTTTTTAATTTTTAATTTTGAGGGCTAGGGGTATAGCTCAGGGGTAGAGGGCTTGCCTCGCATGGGTAAGGACCTAGCTTCAAGACCCAGTACCACAAAACAAAACAAAACAGAAGGATCCAGGAGTGGGGACGACGAGGGGTGCTCTGGGAGCTGGTGGCGGCTGTCGCGGCAGGGGCCCGGGTTACACAGGCGGGCTCCGTGGTGCAAACACCCAGACTGTGTGCTCACGTGTACTTTCCTGCCTGAACGCGACTGTACGGGAAGTCGTGGGCACGTGTGTGTCCAGGTTCCAGCCGTTTCTTCCTGCTGTCCCCGGGGAGGCCGCCATCCTGGTTGCAGGGCAGCGTCCTCCCTGAGTCCTCCTCTTTGCTCTCACCCCAGCCAAAGCCTGTTCTCCTCACAGCCCCAAGAGGGCGACAGGAAACATGGAAGTCAGATCCGGTCCCTCTTTGGCCCTCCAAGGCTCCCATCTCCTTAGGGTGAAGGCTCAAGTCCTCCCTAGGACCCACAAAGCTCCACACGACCTACCACCGACCCCTCTCTGCCCTCCCAGAACTGGGGACTGAGCCAGGGCCTTTGCATTTGCATGGAGCCGTATCTCCAGCCCTCTTAAGTTTTATTTTGAGACAGGGTCTTGCTAAGTTGCCCAGGCTGGGCTGGAATTTGAGATCCTTTTGCCCTGGCCTGTGTCTTGTTCCCTGCTGGATCCCCAGGCCGTGCGTGGCACAGAGCTTGATGCATGGTAAGCACCAAATGTCTGTCCAGTGAACTAATTCCAAAGTGGCTGGTGGAGCTTCCTAGGGCCACCTCTTCTGATATCCACACACACCTGGAAAATGCTGGGTCCGTCACCACCCTCAGGTCACAGGTGGGGACAGACCAGGCAGCCCCCCACAATCCAACCCAGAACCCCTCTGGGCTGCTGCTTCATACCCAAGAATAGTAAGACTGAGAGCAAAAGGAGTCAGTGTGCTAAAATAGTGTCTAGCATGCATCAGCTCATACAAGCCTCACAGCCCATTGTACAGACAAGGAAACTGAGGTTGCCAGGGGGAATGAGCCCAAGGTACATGGTGAGAGCCTGTTCATAGGTGCAGGCCTGCCTCCCTGCCCAGCTATGTCACCAAGCAATGACACAGCCAGGGTCTGGCTGCCTGGGAAGCAATCCAGGCAGAATGCGAACTCAGATCTTCTGGACAAAGGCCTGAGTTCTTTTACCCCAACTTGCATCCTCCCTGCTGTTCTCCGTGCACCCCTAGCGGGCAGCCCAGGCATCTTGGTTCTGCCTGATGGAGGGCACTGGGGCCCAGTTGCCCCAGACAGGAACCTGGAGGCACGCACACCTCTCCAGCTCCTAGCCCCTGGTCATCCTGCAGACTCTTCTTTTTTTTTTTTTTTTTTTTTTTTTTT